GGTGCCTTTGATGGGCGAATGTGACCAGCATCTAGCAGCTCTTTCAATTGTTTCCTAAGCTCCTCTAGCTTGGGCGGTGCCATACGATATGGGGCAAATGTGGGTGGCTTAGCCCCTGGCTCCAACTCAATCTTGTGATCCACCTCTCGCCTAGGCGGCAAATGCTTAGGCAACTCCTTGGGCATGACATCTTTATTTTTCTCAAGCAACTTCTCTATGCAAGATGGTAGTGTCTCTTGAAAACTCTTATCTTCCTCTAGACTTGCGATGGTTGCCACGAATGTCGGCTCCCCCTTCTTGATCCCCTTGACAACCTGCATAGCTGAGAGTTGTGCTTGGCTCTATCCGTGTGGCATAGACAATGTAGGTACCATGCAAGCTCCTTCTTTCTCCATAACCAAGAGATGTTGGAGGTAGGGATCGATCAAAGTATGACAATGTCTAAAGAACTTTTGTCCCAATATGATGTCAAAGATATCCATAGCGGTTACGGTAAAGTTTGTCATACCTTTCCAAGTTTCCAATTTGACACCAACTCTATTAGCTACCCCTCGAGCATTTTGTACCTCGGCATTCACGGTCTTGACGCGAGAGTTGGTTGGAGCAAGCTTCAATTCTAGTCTTTTTGCGGCAGCCTCAGTCACGAAATTATGAGTTGCTCCAGTATCCACCATTGCACGAGCAGGCTTGTTGTTGATGGTGAGATCTACGTACTGGTTTCCATTCTCCGTAGGTTGGATAGATTGCTTTGTGACAGCACCGCATAATCCGATCATACCTAACTGTGCGGTTCCCGAACTCTCTCCTTGCGGCTTCTTCTTCCGTTCACAGACCATGGCACTAAAGCTCTTTAGGTCGGGGCAATTCCTGAAGCTGTGCAGCCCTCCGCATATGTAACATCCCTTCTTCTCGGCATGTGCCTTCTTCTCGGCATAGCCTTGACGGCCACTCAACTTTTTGGAATCTTGAGTCTTGTAGTATTGTTAAACTTTGACATTGTTAAACTTTGATTCTTTGACTTTCCCTTTGTCGTGCTTGTCATGCCTAAAATCTATCAATGATTCGACCTCCACTATGGCTTGGTCTATATTTGCGACTTGCCGGTGTTGTAACTCCTGCTTAGCCCAATTTTGTAACCCGTCCATGAAGTGAAACAACAAGTCATCATTGGTCAGGTTGGGGATTTGAAGCATAAGGGTAGTGAACTCCTTGACATAGACACGTATGCTCCTTGTTTTCTTCAACTCCCTAAGCTTGCGCCTTGCCTCGTACAAGACATTGTTTGGAAAGAACTATCGCTTGAACTCGGCTTTGAACTGATCCCACGTGCGAATAGTACATAGACTTTTATCCACATCGGCCATCTTCCTTCTCCACCATAGCATGGCAGTCTCTGAGAGGTACAACACTGCAGTGTTGATCATGGCATCTTCGTCCTTCACTTTGCCGTGCTTGAAGTAGTTCTCCAAGTGCCAAAGGAAGTTTTCCCCTTCTTGTGCATCACGAACACCTTTGAACATTGGGGGTTTGGGAGACTTAATCTTGGCCTCCCTCGTCACCACAACATTGCTGGCTGCCTCGGTCACACCAGCACTAACATGCTCTTCGAGTTACTCTATCTTTGCCTTCATAGCATCGATAATACTCAAAGCCTCCATGAGTTTGCACTCTAAGGTAGTGATGGTTTGCCTTAGCTCCATCTCGGTTTGTGTACATCACTCCAAGTCATTTCGGATACTCTCAATCTCTTCAATAATGTGCCCCTCAAGAACGCTAAGGGTGCCTTCCACCTTCCCCAAGCGTTGGCCAAAGATCTCCACAGCGTCCATCCCCGCGTTCATCTTCCTCACCCACTCTTTACCGAGCGAGATGTCCTCGGGCAGGACCTCCACTTCATCCTCGCTTGCCTCAGTGGTAGATGATTCTTGGGACGTAAGCCCTTCATTTGATACAACCTCGGGTGGCACCTCCTGGCTCTTGTTGGTGGCATTTCTCTTTTTGTTACGGCCGTTCATGCCAGCAGCATCCTGGATGACGTTGGCTTGGGTGTTGGCAGCGTTAATTTCTCCGTTGTTCGCCATTCCCTTAGTTGCAACCTTTGCTCTGATACCACGTTGTCACGTCCTTAGTCGTTAACTAAGTACACGTGCGACACTTGACAATTTGCTCACGTTCTTGCTATGCCAAGTCAGCCTTACTACACTCAAGATCGCTAAGAGAATGGTAGAAAGAACACAAGAGAATTATTAAAGGAAGCTTTGTAATTAGAGAGAACTTGAATTGTTGCTTAATGAATTATAAATGAATGGCCCCCTTTATATACTAGTCTCCTAGGGGCTAGTGTGTAAATATTAATTGTTACACAAGTCCTTAATATTTACAAGATAAGGGCTTTCTCTAGAATTCTCTACAAGCCTAGAAGATTCCAAGGACTTTCCTAGTAAATTCATAAGCATCTAGGATCTTCCAAAGGAAATGTCCATACTTCTCTAGAATCTTCTCACAAATACTAGCTTTCCTCCTGTGTAAGCTTCCACATGGTATTAATATATGCCAAATGGTGCCTATGTGACATGGTGACATGGCGGGTGATCACATACGACCCTAATGAGGTGGTCTAGTGATCGAAAAGATTGAAAATCAATTAGTTATTCATCAAAGTTTTATTTATTCAATGACCAGAATTAAACAAGAATATATAGCTCGGAGAGAGTAACAATATTTGGAATTATGTTTGAACTCCAATAGAGGGGATATAAGTTGATTTCATTCTATCAACCTAAATCTTGATACCCAAAAAAAACTTAATTTTCTGTTGAATTAAAGATAAGTCAATGATAACAAGATCGATCATTTCATCAAATTTTAAAAGAGAATTATTGCCAGGATTAATGCCAAAGAGAAGCAGAGGTATGGCTCTTCTTCTTCCTCCTTTTTTTGGGTTCTCAACAGAGGAATGGATTTAAAAAGAAGCCCATTACTGAGCCCAATATTAGAGTAGGCCCAAATTGATTTCTATTGTTCAACTTATGTAGAAGAATTATAAAGTCAGCCTACATACTTATATCCTGATTTGTACTTAATGGTTCGTCATAATGTAAAAATTTCAGGGAACGCCCTATTTGGTCACTCACAGTTAATATGTGCCCTTTTTTTTTCTTTAAATATTTAATTGATACCCAATTTTTGAATAACTTTAGATACGTGTTTCACTTCTTCTTCTTCACTGCTGCTTTCTTCTTCTATGTATTCATATCTAATGTATTCAAGAGCTTTGATGTTGCTTTCTTCTTCTCTGTATTCACGTCTCATGTATTCACTTGGGACCCAAGGAATCTTAATTGGCTTGAATCTAAATATCAAAGATGGGGCCTTTGTAAGCTTGTAATTCATATCATGTTAGTTTATTTATACTGTGCATACAAAATTCGAATTCGGAATTTAAACTTGATGGATTTAACATTCATGTTTTCACCACTTATCCCATGCAAGATGCACTCCATGTAGTTATGAGTTCATATATATATATATATATATACCCGTGTACTCTTTGCCTTGAGCATCACGGGTAGTATAATTATGGGATGGTGAACGTACGCAGAAAAAGATGAGGTGCCATGTTGCTAATGGGTTATCTGTGAAAGTTTGGTTTGACCCATGGTTACTAATATATGATAATTTCAATCTGCATAGAGTCATGACCGATAATTTTGACCTTAAAATGAAAGTGTGTGATTTAATTAACTTGGAACATTCACATCTTCAATACACTGTATTTGTTTTTTTTTTGTTTCCCTCCGATGTCCGATACATCCATAGGAACCCCGATTAATACGTATTTGTTTCGAGTATAATCAATTATAAAGGAAAATATTCTTTATCAAAAAATTTTTTATTCTCAGGGCTTGAACATGACGTTTTGTCCATCTTAACTGTTCCTTTTTCATGTTTAGGTGTTAATTGTATCGTTAATCAAAGTATTCTTTAGCGACGACAATGATAGGCACTACATCCAGATCTAACGAAATGTAAACTCAAATTATCAAATTAATTACTATTATAATAATTTTTGGAGAATTCGACAAAAAACTTCAATCGAAACATAATCATCAACAGTAATACAATATATTGTTAATAAGGACGTACGATCGATTTCTTGATCTCACGAAACCTACAATTTCAATATAAATTTGCAGAGTATTTCACAGAATTTGACTGCCGACCAATGTTATGGGTTTGTGGTTGCTTGTAAGTTAAAGATGAAAATTACATTTTCTTTAAATTGTTTATCAATGAGATATAACTTTACAAGTAATTGCCAACTATAGTAGTAAATTGTTTGGGGGCCATAGGACTTCACCATTTTTTAGAATTGAATTATTTTTATTTTACTTATAGAGATATCTTTTGCAGAGGTTTCAGTGTGTGTTTGTTTTCATAGTGATACTAATATTTTGGCCTATATTATACTGTAATATCTAGTTATGGTAAAAAGAAATACTGTTATAAATACTTTTTATTAAAAAACACAAAGTTTAATTAAGTATAATAGTTGGTCTTAATTAACAATATAATTGAGTTGACCTACGTTTAGTTAGATGCGCTTCAGAATTTAACTGTAATGAGTTTCGACTTCTGTCATTAAACCTGCTATTTTAAATTATAGGTCATAATGTAATTATTTTTACAAAATATTTCAATAAATTAAGAATGAAGTTACTGACGAATCTGAATGTAATAGTGTATAAGTAAATGTAAATCTAATTTTAAAGAAATCAACAAGAAACAAATAAGTACGTACTAAAACAACTAAAATTTTGTGTTAAATAGTTTTTTTATCGAGGATCAGTCTGAATAAATAGAGAAATCTAATTTGGACAGTTGAAAAAATACAATAAATAAGAGAAAAGTCTAGTTCCCCCGACACAGTATATAAAAAGAAAAAGAAACTTTTTCTTAATTACCGAATAGCTCTAGCAATTTATTTAACATGGCTTCCATGAAAAAAATAATGAAAGAAGTATATAAAACAAAGAATACTGTCTCATTTTTTTCTATTTAATTTATACAATGATAGGATAAAAACAAAATATAGTATGTGAAACGTATCACTAAAAAAATCCCTCATAATCTTTACTTGTATCAGTGAATAAAAGGATTGAAAGTGCCCACCACTTGCTTAAACGTGTTCATTAAACTTTTAACTCCATTTGTCCCATAATTTTGCGAAACTATTCCATCATTTCCAGCAAGAACCCTATATTTGTCCTTTCTTGTAAAGTCTGTACACTCAAACCCTAATGTTGCAGCTAAAATCCTCTGAACATAATTTGCAACATCATGTGGACTTTTCCCAGATGAACACGTGGCTTCAGCTGGTAGCTGATTCAAGAATGTTACCTGTAGAAAAAATATAAATGAAGAAGATAAATAAAATTAAGCGGTGTTTGGGCATAGATTTAATTAAAACTGAAAAAACAAATTGAAGTTATGTTTGAAAAATAATTTTTAGAAGTTGAAGTAGTGTTTGGACATGCATTTTATATGAAAACAAATTGAAATTTTGTGAGGGGAATTTTTTTTCTTCGGAAAACTAATCATATTCCATGAACAAACAATGTTTTTTAAAAAAATCTATAAAAAAAGTAGCAAAAATATATGGCGAAACGGAAGCTAAGTCTTGAAACATAACACTTTCCTAAAAACAATGTATATTTGTTTCCTTTCCTATGTAAGATTACTATGGGATTGAATATCAAAATAGCTTTACTGGATGTGACAAGCTTTTTGAATTTCATTTCTACACCAAAGTAAATAATGGGAAAATTAAGGTTAGAAAAGCAAGAAATATTTCTAGTTTTCAAATTCAGAATTTTGAGAAGATGGAGAGAGTTTTGAAGAACACAAGAATGGAAATTAAGTTGTTTCCAGCAAAGTAAAAAAAATCATAGTGAAGAAAAATCAACTTAAGACACAATTTCTCATTTAAAAAGTATTTTATTTATTGGTTAAAGTTACACAAAATTGTAAGATTACCTCATACACTGGCCTAGGGTTCATGAAGAAGAAAATTGGGTCCATTGCTTTCCATCCCCTAGCCGTTGTTGCATGAAAAAACCCTACTCTATAATTCATAGCCACTGGCACAATCCGATCGGTTAATTCTGCAAAAAGTGCACTAAACCTTAATAAAAATGGTTCCCTACATGTTGTTCCTTCAGGGCAAACAACCAAATCTCCTTTCTCAAGTTGTCGTTTGATTTTTTGTGCATCTACTTCCCGAATTCTTGTCAATCGAACGGTCGGTATCGGCGATAAAATCTCCGATAATCGAGAGATTGAGTATGTCACGGCCGGAATTTTACGTTGAAGTACGGTGGATAGGACAACCGGATCCAGTAGGGTTCGATGAGTGCACACGAAAAGCACGCCCGAGTTAGTGGTGGAGGCTGGTGGTGGTGGTTTGCCTTTGACGATGACTTTACCACCGAATAATGGAGCTAGATATGGTATGAGGGATAATGGAAGCATTAACCCTACTAAAATACGTATTGTTGCTATTATTATACCAAAGGGAAGCCATAAAAGGATTAAAAGAGATGTAGATGGTGTTGGACGTTTGCCTAAACGACCATCATGGAAAATTACTGGTAATGGTTTGATAAGTTGGTGATCTTGATTTTTGCTGCTCATAAATGGTGGATTTAATTGTTCCTGCAGTTTCAAATTGACATTTATAACAAAATTATATTTCAAGAATCTCATGTCAATGTTATAAGAAAATAATCTATAAATCTACTTCATTTTTTGTATGATTATGTGACGAAATCTCATCAAATAGCTCTTTCATTTTCAGTGGTGGCAAAGTTAGAATTCAAACAAATAACAAAAGCTAAATAGAAGGATTTAAATTATAAATACTGAGAATAATACTATTAAAAAAATTAATTTTGAACAAATGTTTTTCAAAGAATTTAGGTACCTTACAAAAAGAAACAAATCTATCTAGTTCCTTCTTGTTCAATTATATACCGAAATTTCATCAAATAGCTCTTTCATTTTCAGTGTTCATAAAGTTAGAATTCAAACAAATAACAAAAAGCTAAATAGAAGGATTTCAGTTATAAATATTGATAATAATACTATTAAAAAAACTTTTAATTTTGAACAAATGTTTTTCAAAGAATTTAGGTACCTTACAAAGAGAAACAAATCTATCTAGTTCCTTATTGTTCAATTATATATCGAAATTTCATCAAATAGCTCTTTCATTTTCAGCGTTGATCCATAGTTAGAATTCAAGCAAACGACAGAAGTCAAACAAAAAATTTACTGTATACACTGACAGTATAAAAACTTTATTTTACGTACCTTGCATTGAGAAAGAAATGAAGAAACAACTGATTGAGGCCTTCCAAGGCCTAAGCTAGGTTGTTCACCACCAAATAATTCAGTAACTTTTTCCTTAATCAAGTCAAAATCATCCTTAATAAATCCAGTAGCTAAACCAGATTTATTAACAACAAGTTCACTCCCAATAACATAATCAGCTTTCAAATGCTCTTTCACAAATCTCTCAACCATAATTCTTGGAATTTTTGTCACCACAATTCTCTTATCAAAAGAGCTAAAAATACTCCAACAATCCATATTAATGTCATCAAAATAAAACTTAGGTAAAACAGCTCTAGCCACAGCTTCAATTTCAGATATTTTTACACCTGCAGTAGCTACAAATATCATTAACTTTAACCCTTTATTTCTTTTCCCACAAATTTCAAGAACTCGAATTACTGGCCATAACATTAGTAAAATAGCAAATCTTATAAGACCAGAAGCTTCAAATGCCACTAACATGAAGTAACTAAAGGGATCTGGATTTTTTAAGAGAATTCCTTCAAACTCAGCAATAATTGACTCCATTTTTGGTGTGTTTTTTTACAGATAATAATGTGTTATAATTTCAAAAGATAATTGAAGGTTTTTAAGGAGAATAAGGTTTGTAAGATGAAGGTAGATTTGACTGTGTTCTAAGGAAAGAATGGGATTGTTTATCTGTTTACAACTACCGACGTAATTAATTTGATGCAATATGGACACATATTTATATATTCAGAGTTTAGCCCTATTTGCATGTTTTCTTGCGGTGGATATATCTATATGAAATAAATGCTAAAGAATATTCGCCATGTGGACGTGCAAATTGCTTGGTTACTTAACTCAACCAACTTATTCTATTTTTATATTTTTCTAACGTTTTAAAAAGATTTTGAGTTATATATACAGTATACTTAATTATATCTAATTAGAAAAATTCACATGATCAGTGTCGTTTACGTCTATCATAATATATATAATTGTCTCTAGGGCGGATCTATTGTGTTGGTTATGGGTTCATGTGAATTTAATAGTTTTTGTCTAGATTCTATATATATATATATTAAAAATTCTATTAATAATATATATAAAAATCTAATAATAAACTCAATTATTATTGCAATATTAATTTGACGTTGTTATAGGAATTTATAAACAGAGTTTTGAATCTGTGTGGCATCAGTGGCGGATCCACATATGCACTTGTGGGTGTTTAAGCACCCATTACCTTTTATCATATGTAGTAAATTTGCATAAGCAATTATAAAAATATTTACATATATATTGATGACCACCTACAACTAAACTCCTTCTTTTTTTTCTTTTTGAATTTTTATCGATTAACACCGATAACTTTAAAATTCTGAATCCATCACTGCATGACATGTCTCTACTATGCACGTTTGTATTAATTAAATATTTATAGACATTTTATTAGAGGAATCATACTGTTTAATACAAAAGGTTAATCTAAATAGTTTCTGTGAGTCGTGGCAATTGATTAGGAGCTTGGCAGGAGATGTCTCTGTGTCGTCAATTGTATACTTACGTTGTTTCATCGGAGGCGGATCTAGCACTCAAATATTTTATTTCATATGAATTTAGTATTTTTAATATAAAATATAAATTTATTTGTAAGAATTTATTAAAGTTGTAATAAATAATAAAGTTGAACCCATAATTTTTAAAATTCAATGTGTTCAATGCGAAAAAATTTAAAGGCTGAATCCATAAAACATAAATTTTAAATTTGCCTATGTGTTTCATTGACATTGTAGGATTCGTGTTTATTATGATTTGTAGGGGTATACAAAGACAACGAATAAACCGCACCAAATCGAAAATTCTAGTCAAACCGAGAAAAAAATCCGATTGTGATTTGGTTTGGTGTTGAAATACAATCCGATCATAGATTTAGTTTGGTGTCACGACCCGAAATTCCCACCTACAGGACCGTGATGGCGCCTAACATTTGACTTGTTAGGCAAGTCAACGTTAAAAATAATCTTAACCATTTTTAAGCAATTTAAATTAAATAGAAGTCAATTAATGAAATAAAGTGCAGAAGACCATAAATGCCGAATTATCAAAATACATCCCCGATCTGGTGTCACAAGTGCACGAGCTACTAGGATAATACATATAAAGGTCTGAATAAAATTCAAGTTGTTTGAAAGATAATACACATCTAAGATAAGATAGAAGGGGACTTCAGAACTGCGGACGTTGTGCAGTTATACCTCAAGTCTCCTCTGGGTAGTTGAATGCGAGCAAGTCTATGGTATGTCGCTGGGACTAACTCCAAAATCTGCACAAGAAGTGTAGAGTGTAGTATGAGTACAACCGACCTCATATACTCCGTAAATATCGAGCCTAAGCTTGACGAAGTAGTGACGAGGCTATGACAGGACACGTACGTAAATAACATGTACAAGTATATACAAATACGAAGCAACAATAAAACAATAAATAATACTTTATAAATTTAGGAGGGAACATACGAAGAGGGTTGATATAATAGTTTAGCAGGAGAATTATCATTTAGCAGCCAATTAATTTCTCAACAATAAAATGAGAAAATCATAATATGAAAATGGCACGGCACCACCCTTCGTGATTTTACTCTCATTCCTCTCATACACTGATAATTAAATAATAATAATTGGCACGACATCACCCTTCGTGCTTTAACTCTCTTTTGGTACGGTATCACCCTTCATGCTTTTACACTCTCTGAAAATGACATGGCATCATCCTTTGTGCTTTTACACTCAAAAATGGCGCGGCAACACCCTCATTGCTTTTACACTCTTTCTAACCATGACAATGATAGTATAAATAATAAAAATGACACGGAATCACCTCTCGTGCTTTTACACTCTTCCTTACCATGAAAATAATAATATAAATTTGGAAGAGTATTTAAATGTGGGGATATATACTTATCATTCAATTCAATACCAAAATATCGACTTCACCTTCCAGAATTTTCAACAATAATTCAACTAACAATAATCCTATGAAAAATGATCAAATAAACAATAATAATTTAAGAAGAAATATATTAATTAAATATGTAATTATTCACAATAAATAAATTTCACCCGCATACTTTGACTCAACCACAACGCATAAGTACTCGTCACCTCACATATACGTTATACCCGCACATTAAATCACGTAGCAAATACACAAATAAGTCTTACTCCCTCAAGCCAAGGTTAACCACGACACTTACCTAACTTTGCAACCAAATTCATGAATCCAACAAACCATTGCCTCGCGAATTCGGGTTTAAAGTCCTCAAATCTAGTCATAAACAATTCAATATACTTAATACAAATCGAAGGAATTAATTCCATATAAATTTACTAATTTTTCGGATTAAAATATAAAATTCATCTAAACTATTAACAGTGGAGCCCACGTCTTGAATCTTGAAAAAACTTACGAAATTCGAACACCCATTCCGAGACGAGTCCAACCATATAAAAATTACCAAATTCTTATATCAAATGGACCTTCAAATCTTAAATTTTCGTTTTTGGAAAGTTTTATAAAAATTCCAATTTCTTCCATCTAAATCTGAAATAAATGATGAATATTGACATGATTTATGAAATTTAATCACTTTCAGATATAGAATACTTACCCAAGTCGAAATCATGAAAACCTCCTTTGAAATCGCCTAAATCCGTGCTTGAAATGTCTAAAAATGAGAAAAATCTCGTACTCTTCGATTTATACACTGCCAAGGGATTTTCGCTTCTGCGGTGGACTTAACCACGCCTGCGGTCTCGCTTCTGTGGAACCAAATGTGCATCTGCACTGCCTTTCGCTTCTACGATCGAAGGGTCCGCTTTTGCGGACGCGCGGGTGCGTTCAAGGTTCCGCACCTGCGGCTCTTTGCCCAGCTTGCCCATGCCGCTTCTACGAGGGATTTGTCGCTTCTGTGGCCAAGGGTTAGCAGAAGCGAAGGCACCAGAAGTAGCAAAATTCCAGATTTTGCTTAAGTCCAATTTTTGTTTCGATTTCGATTTAAATCACACTCGGGGTACTCGGGACCCCGTCCGAATATACCAACAAGTCCCATAACATAATACAGACTTACTCGAGGTCTCATATCACGTCAAACAATGTTGATATTATAATTTTCATCTCGATTCAATTTTTTGAGTTTCAAACTTTTCAATTTACAAAACTCGTGCCAAGACATATTAAACAAATTCGAAATAACTTTAAATTTGACACACGAGTCATAAATGATATAACAGAGCTATTCTAATTCCCGAAATCTCAATCCGAGTCCGATATCAAAAAGTCATATCCATGGTCAAATTTTAAAAATCTTTAGCCTTTAAATTACTAGTTTCCATTAAATGGCCATAACTTGAGTTAGGGACCTCCAAATTAAATTGCGGGCATACGCCCAAGTTCCAAATCACGATACGGATCTATCGAAGTTGTCAAAATACTGATCTGAGTATGTTTGCTCAAAATATTTAGCAAAGTTAACTCAGTTGAGTTTTAAGCCTCTATTTTACATTTTAATCAATTTTTCATATAAAAACTTTCTGAAAAATTATACGGGTTGTGCACGCAAGTCGAGAAATGATGAATAGTGTTGTTTGAGGTCTTAGAACACCAAAATAATTATTAAATTTAAAGATGACCTTTTGGGTCATCACATTCTCCACCTCTAAAACAAACGTTCGTCCTCGAACGAAATTAGAAAAGTATCTGAGCTGGTAAAAAGGTGTGGATATTTACTCTGCATGTCCGAATCGGACTCTTAGGTAGCTGTCTCAATTGATTGACCTCTCCATTATACCCGAACTGAAGGATAACTCTTAGACCTCAACTGTCGGACCTGCCGAGCTAGAATAGCTACCGGCTCTTCTTCGTAAGTCAAATCCTTGTCCAATTGGACTGAGCTGAAATATAACACATGGGACAGATCACCATGATATTTCCGGAGCATAGACCCATGGAACTCGAATAAACCGCTGATAAACTAGGTGGTAATGCAAGCTTGTAGGCTATTCCTCCCACCCTTTCAAGAATTTCGAAGGGTCCAATATACCTAGGGCTCAACTTGCCCTTCTTTTCAAACCTCAGTACACCTTTCATAGGTGAAACCCGGAGCAATACTCTTTCTCCAACCATAAATGCAATATCACAAACCTTACGGTCGACATAATTCTTTTGCCTAAATAATTTTGACCTTATCCAAGGCATCCTGTACCAAATCGATACCCAACAATCGAGCCTCTCCTGGTTCAAACCAGCCAACTGGTGAACGACATCGCCTCTCGTATAATGCTTCATACGGAGCCATCTGAATGCTCAACTGGTAGCTATTATTATAGGCAAACTCCGCAAGTGGCAAGAATTGATCCCAAGAACCTCCAAAGTCTATAACACAAGCGTGAAGCATATCTTCCAATATCTGAATAGTGCGTTCTGACTGTCCGTCTGTCTGTGGATAAAATGATGTACTCAACTCAACCCGCGTGCTTAACTCACGTTGTACATCCCTCCAGAAGTGCGAAGTGAACTGCGTACCTCTATTAGAAATGATCGACACGGGCACACCGTGAAGGCGGACAATCTCATGAATGTAAATTTCAAGTAACTGCCACTAGAATTCTCTCTGAGTCCATGGGATCCCAACAACAAAATCCATAGTGATACACTC